GAAGGGGCATTCCCGCCCAACCCCCTCGCCTCCCGGCCCTTCCCCGCCTCACCGATCGGCCGAACGGACGCCTGGAGGGACGTAAGTTCAGCCGCACGCCAGACAATGCTTATTCTGCGACACCATGTTGCTTCGTGTTGTGCGAAACTCAGTTTACAAACGAGGCTTTTTGGAGGAGGGGGACGGTGTTGTTCATTGTAAATCTCAGTATTGGTTATTTGGTAATAAACTTAGCTGGATGGAGCACGTCGATGCCTCAGCTCTAGTTACCCTTTCGGCGTAATTTTTTTTGTTGTTTTTTTGCCCCATACAGCTACGCACAGCTCGTCTTAATTCACACCTTATGTTTCTCTACCTGTAAGCTGTGAAGCCCTTAAAATAAATGTGTAGTGACCTTGTCACTTTGAGTCTCCTCTGCCCTTGCTTTGAAAGGATTCCGTGAAATTAAAAGATGCTGGGACTGGTCAGGTCCAGAGCACAGGTTAGGCACTTTGGAGTCGCCCTTAGTGCATCTAAGGGAAAAATCACAAGCTGTTACCTCTATGAGGTGTGGACTTGTCCGGTCTCTCCTTTGGTAGATTAAAGTAAAGCCAGAGAAGTGGATTTTTAAATTGTAGACATTGCTTTGTATTTATAGTAGCAAGATAATGTCATAACTAGGACTAGAACCCAGGCCGATCTTGCTCTGAATGCTGAGTCAGACCAGAGTTCACATTCTTTGAGAATTACAGTCACCTTCTCCACTGTTTTGCACAGAGACCTTTGTGCTGCGATCACATCTGGGTCTTGTTTATCTAAATGGGCTGTAAATTACAGTGATTATTTAGACTTTACACTGTTTTCTTATGCAACAAAAGTTTGACACTCGCAGTTTCTTGAAAGTCAACTTCATTAACTTCGCTTCCTAATGTTGAGATAGGTTGGTGGTTTTAGGAAGTACAACACTATGGTAAATAAATTTTGCAGTAAATTGCAAAAAACAATTATCCATGTGAAAGAATTTAAAATGAGATCAATTTAACAAAGAAATTTATCCACGGTCATGGTATAGATAAACATATAAAATTCTAAATTTCATTTCCCCAGAATACTGAGTGCACTCTCCTTCCTTCTATTGCTAAGTTAAGAACCTGTTCACACCATCCTGGTGTGTAGGGTGAAACTAGAGGGAAAGCTTTTAACCTGTGAAGTCTGGGTTTCATTGCATTACTTTTTTCTGTGTCCAGGCCTATATTTTTTAAAATCTGGGACTCTAAATGTACATTAATGTTCTTAAAAAATTTCTTTAAAAAGTTCAATACGGTGGTCAATAAATGACCTGCTAGCTTCTGTCAGCCACTGTTTTCTGTTTAATAACAATCCCATTATTACCAAGAGTCATTACAAACTGGGTGAAGTAACTAATTTGCAAAATTTTAGAAAGTAATGCTAGTACTGTTTCAGTAAGAATTAAAAATGAGTATGAACAAAATAGTGTTCAAGTGCACAGATAACTTGGTCTGTATTATCAAGGAGCATACACTGTTAGAGCATGTAGGCAGCAACTTTAGAGTTTAAAATACGTTGTGTTCAGTATGTACAAATAAAATTTTTTTCAATCACAGATTGTCACAGTATAGTATTGTGTAATCATATGTACATTAATCTGAATATTTTTGTTGATTATAATGTTTAGTTCTGAAACTGAAGAAAACAGCATTACATAGGTAGAAAGCATTTCTATGCTAAGTTGTAGTATAGCACTAGTAAGAGTTTTTAAACTCTTGTCGGTCAGCTGAAACAGTAAGAAGTAAGGATATAGATTAAGTGATTCATAATGATCAAACTCTAGTCTGGCAAACTTCCCCAGTATCTATAGAATTTTTTTTTTTTAACTAAAAATGCCATTGGCTTCTTTAATTGGCTAAGAGCACAAAAGGTAACAGGCAGAAGGTCTGTTTAAAAAACAAATTAGCCCTAGGCAGTCTTGCTCAGTGGTTAGAGCATCGGCCCACAGGCGGAAGGGTCCTGGGTTCAGTTGCAACCAAGGGCACATACCTCAGTTGTAGGCTTGATCCCAGTCTTGGTCAGGGTGCATGTGGGATGCAACCAATTGGTGTGTCTTTCTCACATCGATGTTTCTCTCTCTCTCCATTCCTTCTCTCTGAAAAGCAACGGAAAAAATACCCTCCTGAAAGTTTAAAAGGTAATAATAAATAAAAACAAATTTAAAAGCTGTGGTTTGGTTTGGTTCTGTTTCAATTCTCTCAAGTCAGATATATATACACCCACAAAAATGGTGTGTGAAGGGAAACTGTCATACGTGAGAAGTTGTATTCTGAATTAAGGGAAACAGCTGTTGAAACAGGAATTAACACAAAGTCAGCAACAGGTTAACAATTTTTAAAAACTGAGTCTTCAAACGCTGCATGGCACAATGCTGTACTTAATATAAAGTACTGCTAGATGTGAAGGAGGAAGTCTATAGCTTTTAGCAAAAATGCTTTTCCAGGAAAGCAAGTCAGGACAACACAGTCAGCACACAAGGAAGGTACAGAATTTCAGCTTCCCCATCTGTGTTAGAAAATTCTGTTTATCCAGAATGGACTAAAATTTCAGGCCAAAATGGACACTTTTACATTTCCTACTCTGTCCCTATAAAGGTCTCTGCTTCTTTCCCTCTCACCCTGTAATTCAGCTTGATCCAGCAGAAAGATGGCTGCTTTTAAAATTGGCTATTTTATTTTCCTTTCTGTGGTGAGAATGTCACAGAGCCTGGGTACTTTATGCTCATATGCATTTATGACTAGCATCCCACTATTGACAAAAAACTTCGCAACGGACTTGGTGAACCTGGCTTCCCAGTTTTACTTTGTTCTTCCATTGATGAAGGTCAGCTTGAAGAAGGTGTATTTGTCACTTAACCTTTGAGACTGGAGACAGTTGCCAAATGTCAGTTTACATTCCCGTGGGCCATGAGAAAAAATGCTCTTCTCTTGGACATGAAGAATATGATATGACACACAAAACCAAAACACGCTTGCACTCTGGAAAAGGGTGCATATAGTCATCCCAAATCAAAACCACTATGGCCCAGAAACAGGAGATGGTACAGTTGGTGAGGTGACCATCAGACCAAAATTCTCCACAGAATATCTTAAAAAGCAATAAAAATGTTGCTAAAAGGAAAATGCACGCAGCATATTAAACACTAAAATTATGAGGCAGAATAAATAAAAATAAGCGTCTAACTAGAAAAAATTAGAATAAAATAAATAGACAAAGGAGGAATGTGATAATAAAGAGGAAAAACATTTAAATACTAAAAAATAGTAAAATTGGGAAATTCAAATGCTGGTTCTTTGCCAAGATGGGAAGAATGTAAACTAGGTTAAACTGGCTACCCTGCTAGCCCTGGCCAGTGTGGCTCAGTTGGTGGAGCGTCATCCTGTACAGTGAAAGGTCACCGGTGGGTGCAGTTTCCATCAGGGCACATCCCGGGGGGGCATGCTGGAGGAGCTGATGGGTGTTAATTCTCACATCAGGGTTTCTCTCCCTCTCCCTTCCTCTCTAAAAATCAATTTAAAAGTGTTAAAAAACCTGCCTAGCCTGCTCAAGAAAAAAGGGAATGTAAGTACACAAGATTAGAAGTATTTTTAAAAAATAGAAAGTGCTTTATAAGACTATGTAAACAAACCAGAATTTTTTTTAAAGGAAATCCAGTTATCAAAATTGACTCCAGAAGAGAGAACCTAACAGATCATTGACAATGGAAAAAATGGAGGACGTTACCAAAAAGCTACCATTCCTCAAAACACCAGGCCCAGATGGTGTTACAGGTGAATTTGTTTTGTTTTTATTTAAGTATAGTTGGTGTACAGTGTTATTTTAGTTTCAGGTGTACAAATATTCAACATTTATATACCTTACAGTGTGATCACCTCACTATATCTGCTATTATGTCACCGTGCAGGTTTAATGTCTCGCTTAAAAGGTGGTGTCTCATACCTGCTTCTGCATTCAGTCTATTGTAAGCTGTTTTGGTTGAAGTATACGCAGAATATCCAGCCTCACATAGTATGTAATTAGAACACGGAGGACCTCCTGGGCCTCGGAAAGGGTCTCAGAGACCTCTAGGGGTCCTCTGAAAAGACTTGGAGAACTGCTGATCTAGTCTAAAAGGGGAAAAGTAATATCGTCCAAAGATTGGAGGAAGGATTCGGGGGAAAATCTGTGTGTTTAACACTGATTTTAAAGGTTTACTTATTGTCATTATTTGTAGGTTAAAAAAATCCTTCATGAAGAAGAAAGATCTTAAGCCACATGATGGATTCAGAAGCTCATAAAAAGAGGTCGCCAATCATAACATCTTCAAAACAAGATATATCACCTCATATTACAGATGTTGGTGAAATGAAACATTATTTGTGTGGCTGCTTTGCAGCTTTCAATAATGTAGCGATCACATATCCCATTCAGAAGGTCCTCTTTCGGCAACAGCTGTATGGAATCAAAACCAGGGATGCAGTGCTTCAGTTGAGGAGGGATGGATTTCGAAACTTGTATCGCGGAATCCTTCCCCCGTTACTGCAGAAGACAACTACACTGGCGCTTATGTTTGGTCTGTATGAGGATTTGTCTTGCCTTCTCCATAAGCATATCAGTACCCCGGAGTTCGCAACCCGTAGCATGGCGGCATTACTTGCAGGAACAACAGAAGCAATTTTCACTCCATTGGAAAGAGTTCAAACATTGCTTCAAGACCACAAGCATCATGATAAATTTACAAACACTTACCAGGCTTTCAAGGCACTGAAGTGCCATGGAATTGGAGAATATTATCGCGGCTTGATACCTGTACTTTTCCGTAATGGGTTCAGCAATGTCCTGTTTTTTGGTCTCCGGGGTCCCATTAAGGAGCATCTGCCTACTGCAACAACTTACAGTACTCATTTGGTCAATGATTTTATCTGTGGAGGTCTGTTGGGTGCCATGTTAGGAATCTTGTTTTTTCCGGTTAATGTTGTAAAAACTCGCATGCAATCTCAGATTGGTGGGGAATTTCAGTCTTTTCCCAAGGTTTTCAAAATAATCTGGTTAGAACGGGATAGGAAACTGACAAATCTTTTCAGAGGTGCCCATCTGAATTACCACCGGTCCCTCATCTCTTGGGGCATAATCAATGCAACTTATGAATTCCTGTTAAAGGTCACATGAAAGAAATAATTAAGTGCCATTTATCAACTGACTAGACCTTAAAAGAAGAATGCAGTTTGGCCTCGTTCCTGATTGGCCAAATATAAGTTGGTGTCGTAAGTTCAGGGCACAATGAATTATGGGCAAAGCTGTTTTCCTTAAGCACCAACAAATTCAGAATAAAAGGTTTCAATAGGAAAAATTAAGGATTTTTGTTTTTTGGATTTTGTGTTATTTTCTAATTATTACCTGAGAACTTTAGACTAATTGCTTGGTTAATAGCTGTCTATCTGATGGATGGCATTTGACGAGGAAACTAATAGCCAATATGGTCTTTTTCCCAAAGTCTTTAAACCTTCTGTATTGAAACATAAGTGGCCATGACCAGCCAGAGAAAAGAATTCTCAGGCTTACTTTTATTACTCCATTTCTTCTCTATGGAGGAGTTGCAAAGAGTAGTCTTTGTTAAACTTAAGCATATACTCAAGAAGCAGGACAGAGAAGAAAAGAGCTTAATGGGTGTAGGCTTTTGATGATAAATTGCTTGTATTAGTTTTGAAACAAAGCACCTGTTGGGATAGTCATTACCGAAACTTTCTTTTTAGGCATGGTAGACTCAAGCAGCTCATGAAAGCTCCCATTTGCCTTCTAGATTTGAAAGTTTTCTGATTAGTTCTGAATGTGACCTTAAATCTGCCCCAAATATTCTTATGTTAATTTCACTTATTTCATTGCTAAAAGATGGGGAGACTTAAATTTTCTCATAGGCATTTCATCCTGTTAAGTTTCATATTTTGCATGAAAATCAAACTCTTTAGCTCACTTTCTTTGAATTGTTGCCAACTTAGCAAACAGCTTTGGGGCTTTTTTTCCTCTTTGGGTAATAGTTCATCTTATTCAAGTATTCTGTTCTCTTGAAACTCCTCTTTAAAAAACACTTCCATAAAATTTTATTTTGAAAGTTTAATAGGATCTCATTTTTTTCCTGGTTTCTCAATTTTGGGGGGAGGTGGGGCACTCAGGATAGCTTTCACACCACAGTGTTAGCTGTCTTTTTTTCTCTTGGAAATAGAGACTTCTATTAGGATTTTTATATTTTAGGAACCCAATTTTACCATTAAAACTGCTTGAGAGGATAAGATCTTAATAAAGATATTTGAAAGATAATTTTAAATTTCTAAAAGTTGGTAATAGCTGGATAAATTAGTTGTCCCTTACCTAACAAAAGCTTATTTTTCAAAGAAATCAGATTTTAAACTATATTTTCCCTATAAATAAGGCAAAATGATTCACACACCAATTGAATAATTAGTAAAACATACACAACATCCTAGAAAAGTGGTTTATTTTTTAAAAATTTATCTTTATTGAAAGTATTACAGATGTCCCTCTACTTCCCCATTGACCCTCCCGCACCCAATGGTTTATTTTTAAAAAACCATCTGTAAATATGTAGTTAAGATTGCTTTCCAGCATCTGACATGGCAGAGTAGTTAGGTTTCTTATTACTAGTTTTCATCATTCTGGGTAATTGCATATGAAAATGTGTACGTAATGACCAAAATAAAATCAGGGTCTCAATTGGTAGTTTACTCAGTTTCTGGGCAGATAGTCCAAAAAAGATGTTTACCTCTACATGCAGTATGGCTGGTCAATAAAATAAACATCCAACCAAAAGGATTAGGAAGCATAATCAAGCATTTGTTAGGCAATAATCAAGCTCAGGAGATTTACAGTAACTCTGACAATGTTGTGCTAAAAATGGCAGTTTACTTTAGCAGCCAAGGTGCAGATGTAAGGATTTCAGAAAACTGTCACCAAATAAATGTGAGTAGCATCCTTTGGCTTACCAAGTAGAGTCAAGAGTCAGGATTTGTAGCGGCTCTCAAAAACGAATGACTGTGGTGCCTGACCCCCTCACTTGCGTGTGCATCCCTGAGTACTCCTGGGCATGTCTAGGTGCTCAGCTTGTGGCAGGTGTGTGAGCCTGGGGTCATGCCCTCGCCCTGGGAATGGACTCCATGGGCCTTTGGTTCCACAGGGCTTCCTTTCATCTATACACTCCATGCAGGTGGTAGAAATCTAACTTATAAAACACTTTGTGAAATACAAACGAAGTGAGAATGTGAAGGAGATGCTTTGGTTTCTGCTGTCTCAAGTATGTGGCATTTACAAACAATAAATATTTATAATGGTTTTAACTCAATATTTTTTTGATTTCTTTGTCACTTTTTACAGCTATTGAAGACCAAACTGCAAATACATTACCTGTGTTGTCCTATAGACTTCTTAATTTTGACAAAAAGTTGAACAGAACTTGTAGCCCACAGCTTTGTCTGAACTTTAAGTCAAAATGTGTTACTAAGATTCTAACTATTGTTTTTACCTTCCGTGTAAACTAGTACAGTAATTTTGAAAAGGCAAATGTGATCGAATAACTATTTGAGAAGCTTTAAAAGTGGCCCTTTCTGTTACATATGTGACACAGACTGCTCATGAGCACAGGGCACTTCTGGTCTTGCCTCCTGTATTCATGCCTGATGTTAGGATTCCATGTCTAACATACGTCGAGTGGTGTGAGCCCTCAGGACTGCACCACTGAGTAAACGCAGTCTCTGGTGGCAAATTCGTGTGTGTTTCATTTGTATTGGAGACAAAGTTGATGTTTTTTGTCTCAATAGTCAATATTCATCTTACTTTATGGCTACATAACCACCTGCTATATATTGTGAACTGTGCAGTAAAACAGAATTGTGTATATACAATCATCTTTGGAGACCCAAACTCCCTAGCTCAGTTACAGTGTTATACTCAGGAGGCTGTGCAAACGTGAGGGAGTAATGAGGGGTGGGAGACGAGGGGTGTGGAGCGGGGTCTGGGGGCTCCCGGCGAGCAGTCATGTTGACCCACCAACACTGGTTCAGTGCGGGTGAGCACAGAGCGTGAGGGCGTGCGGTCCAGATGAGCGCAAGGCCAGATCACACTGGAAGACTCGATTTCGCCTAAATTAAAATAATTCTCTTTGTTTTCTCATGCATATAAGTGCATATCAAAGACTTGAACAGGCATTCTTAAATCTGAGACTTTTCATTTTTAATGCTGGTTTTTGTGATTTTTTTGCTTAATATTAAATATTTGCCTAAACGGCTCCCAAATTTTGGGGCAGTCTCTACAGTACATGTTTCCGTTTTAAAAGTTTATTAAAAGTGGTTAAGCACACAAAGCTGTTTTTGTTTGATATTTTGAATTTTGTGACTGAGTTTAAATGAAACCTGTTAACTGTTTCAGAGTTTTCATGCTTCTTTTGGTAATTCTTTTTGGAATAAAATTGTTTTCTTTTTAAGTCCATTTGGTCTTCTCTTGCGGTTGGGTTAGTTGCTAGCACATTGCTTTTTGTGTGGTAAATTGATCTATTAGTATTTGTGTTGCCAACACATTTAGCACATTACTTTGACTCTTAGCAACTTCCCGTGGTGACCATTGTAGATTGAACAATCCTTCGTTTATCCATCTTCGATCAAGAGGAGTTCCAAATAATTTTCCGATGGCTAAACTGCAAAGCATTTTGATTTTTAAAGCTTTTCTCAAGTGAAACTGTTTTCTACGGAGTAAAACTGCCTTGATTAATGCAGCTTACCAGTAATTTCTATTGTAATCATATACCTTCAGGTCATGCTTACCCCCAGCTAGATGGTCTGGATGTTTGTGCTTTTCAAGATTTTTATATGTGCTTTCAACTTCATAGCTGCTCCTTTCTGTTAGAGTGAAGTTACATGAGCTGCACTGTTGGTTTACATGTTAAATTGTAAGGTGCTCCCTGTGTCTAGAGATAGGTGTAGCTTGATGAGGACCTAGACTAGTAACGGAGCAGTTGCTGTAAAATGTTTCTGAAACTCCAATTTAGGGTAGAATTCATTATAAAAGTGGGTATCCTGAACTATAGAATTGATAAAAGGGGTGTTTACATGTCATCTGATGAAATATCTTTTTAACCCACCTGCAGCAGCCATTATAGA